CGAATTACCACGCGTTGAATTACCTCTCGTTGAATTACTATGCGTGGAATTACCACGCATCAAATTACCACGCGCCGAGTTACCACGCATGGAGTTACTACGCGTTGAATTACCACGCGCCGAGTTACCACGCATGGAGTTACTACGTGTTGAATTACCACGCGCCGAGTTACCACGCATGGAGTTACTACGTGTTGAATTACCACGCGCCGAGTTACCACGCATGGAGTTACTACGTGTTGAATTACCACGCGCCGAATTACCATGCATCGAAGTACTACGCGCCGCTAAACTCGAAGCTGTTGCTCTCGCGTCTGCGCACGTGTAATCCTCGCGCTCTGATTGGTCCGTGTTTTTCGTTAATAATTCAAAAACGAAGCTTTAAACCCTAATTTTGCAAAGGGAAATCTTATTCTCCCATTTCAAGAACCTACATCAAACCCCATTTTTACAAATGAAAATTTTATTCAGAATCACGTCAGCTACCCCCCCATTTCAGGGACCTACACTAATTGTGAGTCACCCTGTATATTACGAACAGTAATTATTAATCACTTAATCCATATGACCTAATATGAAGATTGCTGTAATTCTATTGTAAACACCAACTAAATATTGTTCATATTAGGCATTTATATTAAAGTATTCCATATTAAAATATTAAGTATGTTATATTATTAGGATTATTCCTTAAAGAAACTATACTTCAAAAACTAAAACAGAGTGGTGATAAGATATGTATTTTACATTTGTTTTAATTCTAAGGTTTCATACTTTTGGAATACTTCAAAGTTTGTTAGAAGATAACCCTAATAACATGTTTGTTTGAAAACTTCCAAATAATTACAAGTGTAGCATATTTGAAACACAAAGTTGAAACTGCATATCATAGGGAAAACTACATAGGAAAGTAAAAATTTTTCTTATTTAAGACTTTCAATAATAATAACAAACGAAAGGTATCTAGAACTTTGTCTCAATTTTTCATTTTGTTACAATCGCTTTTACAGATAATATGTAACAATGATACTTCAAGTAATCTAACTTTTTCAAAATTATAAAAGTAGATAATAAATCTCTGTTCTTTTACGATCTAATCGAGTGAAGTCGCAATATAGAAGCGGTCACAACTGGTACGTTCACGATGTGTCCACATGAAACACTGCACTCACTCTTCTTTTGAAGTTAGCTGAACATACTAAAGCATCGGTTTCAGAATATTCTAAATTTCATTAACACTTAGCGTACATCTTTCTCTTTCTATCTTTCTCAGTTTCTCTTTTTTTTTTAAGAAAATTAACCTCTTGTACTTTGACAAGATGTACTTTAGTCTGGTGACACACTCACAGCTTAAATGTGACAAACTTCACTCAAATGTTTAATACTCTTCAACTTAAAATTTAGGTCCACCTATAAGTTAAAAACTTTTTAAGTTATTAAGGTTTGAAAGTTCCAATATTTTGACAAATTACAAAATATCTTACAAAATATTCATTTATTCATTTTTCAATAAAAATATCTTACAAAATATTCATTTTTCAATAATCTTACCCTAATACTTTTATGCACAGAATAATGAGATAAATTGACTGGCGTAAAGAAAATACACAATTGTTTAAAAAAACAAAATAAATTTGTGTTGCAAATTTGCTAAAGTTTTTAATCAAAAAATACTTTATCATAGTATTTTAGAAAGCTCTCGAGGTAAGCTACAAGAATAAGCAAAAATATATAGGATGTTCCATTTAAAAAAATTGAAGTGACCTTCACGTGACCTTCCAGTGACTCTTCGAGGTCAAAATGATATTGCCAGTAAATAGAACTTTTTAAACCCTACAACTTTTGTATGAAACATTTTTTGATAAAACTTATATTTTTCGAAATATTCAAGGGTTCCGACCTTTTTTATACACCCTGTATATGTTTTGAATGAATTACAATTTTATTAAATCCACACTGTTTCTGATCAAACTTTACGAGGTTATTTATTCACACGTCGAATATTCCTTAGCAGTGTGATATTTTATAAAACTTGTATTCTACGTATACAAATCTTATTCGCCTTTGTGTTTCTGACAAAATTGACATATACAAAATTAGTCACTATATTAACATATGTCATGTATGGACATATTGTATATCTCGTAAATTCTTTCGTGTTTGTCATTTTTATAGTCACGAAATTATTAAAAAATACCCAAAACAAAACTACGCAGTAGATTCGACAGATAGTATAACAGTAACAAGAAAAAACCCAATGTGCATAAAAATGTAAAACTGACGCAGCCTAATAAAAATTCAAGTAGAAGAATCTACATCCTTAGGACGTCAGAAATAACGTAAAACGTGACTCATCCGTTAAGTGTTAATCATATATTATCATAATTAGATATTCTCATTATCGAAACCTAAAATTCTATCACAAAAAAATTGCATATTTCACGAAATTTCACGAAACAGCACAATTAATCTACAAATTAAATTTACTCCAAAATTTTAATGATTGCTATAATTGAATTTTTCAAGAAAATTTTCAAAAAATTTTTATAGGGTTCAATTCAAAATATGCAAATGAGATTTATTGATTTACTCTAAAATTTTGTCGTAGTTTAATTATTGCAATAACTGAATGAAACATGTTCGCGAATTTCTTTTGTAAAGTTTAGTTCAAAATATTAAAATTGAGATTTTCTCAGAAGAATCATTGACTAATAGATAATTCATCTTTACTATTAGCGTTGTTACAAGGTTAGGTCTTTTTTGTTATTTCAAATATGCTACACTTTTTCCATCGTTCATAATTTGTCAGTAAATTGAATATTGAAATGATTGCAAAGGTGGGTGAGGAGAGCGATAGTAGCGGTAGCGAGAGGAGTCCAAAACAAGCAAAGAGAAGAAATCGTGGTGGACCGCCGACCACCAGGAGACGAAAAAGTGGCATTTCCGCGCGAGAAAGGAACCTCAGGAGGCTTGAGAGCAACGAGAGAGAAAGAATGAGGATGCATTCCCTAAATGACGCTTTTGAGGTAAGTTCCCAATATTTTGGCCCAGCAAAATTTACTCGAAACCGTTAATGTGGCCAGAAGGGGGTCAGAGAATGGCACTTGTCCCCTCCAAAGAGAAAAAGGTGGCTTTCATCCTTGAAGAAAACTTTTACTCTACAAGAAAAAAGTCCAATTTTCCCCTTTCTAAATGGACTAAGGTTAGATTACAGTTGTCAATAATTAATAGATAATATTTTAGACGTGAAAGCAAACTTTTAATTTGTTTAGGGTAATTTTATCTTGAGACTCTTGTCCCCCTCTGACCACAGTTTTCGAAATTTATATACGTCCTAAATAATATTAAATATATTTATAATATTAAATATCTTTTAAAAGAATAATATATGTTTAACATATTTAATATTATTGTAATATTATTTAATATTAAATATGTTTATTAAATATGTTTATGTTTAATGTTAAATATGTATATGTACTATTTAATATTATTTTAACATAGGTATTTTATATATGAGCACTTATTATTTGAACACATTAAACATGTATAACATATATATTTAATATATGTATAACATACGTATAAATTTGATAATTCAATCACAGAATTTTCATAGTAAAAAGTCACTGATAGTATCAAACAAATGCATTGTTTCTGCAGATTATTATATTTACAAAACTTGATTTCTTCAGCCGTTCATGTCTATCCAAAACATTGTATTATTCTTACAACTCGATATAGTTATAATATTATCTTCTATCTAATCATTCTGATTCGATCTATCTGATTATAAATAAGCCGTACTTGTTCACCTGTTGCTTTCAATCTATAATCTGAATCGTTTAAAGATATCTTACCCGAATGATTTTGGTAGATTGCTCTTCAATGCGATCTTTATTAAATCCTATCTGCGATCTGAATACTTATGTGTGATCTGAAGCATGCCAGAATGATGGTAGGTATACAGGTAGACCATTTAAATAGGAACGTTTAAAGTCTTAAAAGTGACTTTGCAATTTTTGGGAAAAGTAACGTTGTTGTTACTCTTTAAAATGGTATAATATTATAATGGTATAATTATTTTTATTTTTTTCGTGTAAGTGTAAGTAATAGAAATATTTGAATGCTTTAAATTAAATTGTCCAACCTGTATATCTCCTTAAAACCTTATTTCAAAATATAATATGGAATTAAAGTATTATTATTACTGTAATTACTATTATAAATTATGACAGAATAAAAGAAGTTAACATTCATGTTATACTTTGAATGAAATAACCTATAAAATCTTATAATTATTGCAAATTACTATTATGTATATAGACTAAATTATTATTTACAAGCTACTAAATTATTATCTGAGTAACAAAATCAGAACTTTACTATTCGCTTTTTGAGTCAAATTAGTAATCAAACGAAAAATGCTTCTGATCGCAATCGAGTGTCGTCCGCCATTTTGATATTCTTCTCCAATGACACAGATAAATTCCAAATAATAAGTTTGATTGTATTTCTTTTTTATAATACCGTTCTGCTTTGTTTTGAATTTGTAGAATTCCTAATTTTTATTTTTAACAATGTAAAATTGAAGATAGTTAAGTTCCTTTGTTAAGCGAACAGAAATCAAGTAAAGGAATCTTAATTGAAATGATGCAACAGAAACGTAATAAATGATTTCTTTCGATTATTATTTAAACACGTATACACATTTCAAGCACGATCGATACTCGAAGTAATTGAATTTTCAATCTTATCAGCAACAATGTTATCTTTTTCAGCAACTGCGCGAGGTGATACCACACGTAAAAATGGAAAGGAAACTCAGTAAAATAGAGACGCTTACGTTGGCTAAAAATTATATAATGGCACTTACGAATGTCATATGTGAAATGCGGGGTGAAGAACAGCCATACACGTAAGTTCATTTCATTGTTAGTATTTATTTACCTAAGTTATGCTTCGGTGCTAATGTATATGTATGAATTTGCAAGTGTTACAGTTTATTAATATACAAATTCCTTAATTCCTACATTTACAAAGTTTTTGAAGATTCTTTTTTGAAGATTTTTATCAAGCTTCTAATCTCGTAAATTCTTATATTCTTAAATTTATAGGTTTCTAAATTTTTTAATACCTGAGCTTCTGAATTTCTGTATTTCTACATTTTTAAATTCTAAAATGTGTAAATTTTTAATCTTTTATATATTTAAGTTTGTAAATTAAGTTCCTAAATTCCTAAATCCTTGAATAACTAAATTTCTAAAATCCCCAAATCTTCAACTTCCCAAATCCCTAAACACCAAATTCTGTGTTTGTCAAGTTTTGAATCCCCCAAATTCCTAAATTTCCAAATTCTCACATTTCCAAATTTCTAAATTTCCAAATCTTCAAGTTCCAAATTCTCAAATTCTCAAAATGTGCAAACACTCAAATTCAAATTCTAAAGTTCTTTGCAATTCCCAAATGTCTAAAATCCTCAAATATTCAAGTTCCCAATTTCCAAATTTTTAAGTTTCCATATCCCCAAATCTCAAAATCCCCGAATTACCAAATTCCTCATTCCTAAAATTTTAGAATCGTGGAACCCCAAAATTTTCAAATTCCTATATTCACAAATTATCAAAATTCCCAAGTGTCCGAATTACAATATTTCTAAAATCCCCACACCTCCAAATTCCAAAGTTTCTATTTTTCCAAATTTCTAAAAGTCTCTATCTGTTAATAGACCCACGCGAACCAACGAAATTTACTCTTTTGCTCATCATCAAAATTTATTCTGATTCATCTCCTAGTTTAAATCTTGTTAGTACTTCGCACAGTGTACATATTGTTGTATATGTTGTGCTTAAAGTTTTGACTTTGTTGTCAGTAAGATTTCATCTTCAATGAAATACGTTTCTTTATTCGTAAATATTTGACTTGGACTTCAGTCCGTTGCAGATTTCTGTCAATACTCTTTTTTGTGAAATATTACGAGTGGGCGATATTACGTTCTAGACGATATTAGGAACTCTTAACCTACGCCATATTCTACGTCAAACGCATACGTCATGAAAATATGACAGTGCTAAAAATATTCCGTTTTTATTGTATACAGATTTTCTTTTCTATTAAATGGTATAAATTATTTCTTTTAACAAGCAATTTTTTTCTTCTTTATGGAGTTGTAAACATTTTCCTAAAACAGAGTTAATGTAAATAAAATTATTAGGAAATCTGTTCATGGATTTTTATATATCTTAATATGTTGTAAAAGAATAGGAAAAATATGTAATTTTAATTGTATAATTGAACTAATAATTGTTTAAAAATTAAGTAATGAATATTGCATAGAAAAAGAATAATAAATAAAATAATAAATATCGTTCCTTACATAATAAAAATTGTATAGAAATAAATTATAAATATTGTAAAATAAATAAAATAATAAGTATCTCTTCTTAAATAATAAAAATTGTATGGAATACGTACAGTGATGTGCAAAAATTAAAACTGGGTGATATGCAAAACTGTCATGCAACGAATAGAGAAATAATATTAAAATTTGTAATAGAAAAGAATTTGACCTATTGTTTAAATAATAAACATTTACGTTGTACAAAATACATATGCATGAAAGTAGCCATGCTGGAGTACAATGTCCGATTACTATTAAACGGTCAAAGATGCATCTCTTTCACATTTTCACCATTCTTTCAACGCCTCGGTGCGTTCTTGTCCGTTACATTCCCCTACTAGCATATTTTGAGATATCCTTCTTTTTTACCGTTTTAATTTAATTTAATCTAACAAAACTTGCAATCGTAAAAAGATAGTAAAGGTTATGCAAGAAAACTCATTAGTTAACACGTTGAGTATCGCACTGAAGCAGTTAAAAATTTGATTAGGTTAGGTTTTTATTTTTAACAAATCTTACCAAATATTTTCACGGTGTTTTGTAATATTTATTATTCATAGTTCTAAATAGTTAATATGAGTATTTCCAGTGAGTTAAGTAAACAAACTTTTAATGTGTAGTACTCGTATGAAAATTTAAAAGTCATCCACATATGAGTGACGTGGTAATTAATTGACATGTTGAGATAATTAATTATGATGTTAATCAATTAACTGTTAATTGACAGAATTAACACTAAACCTACCGACATATAATGAGTACTCAATTTGGAATTACAAATGAAGTTAAAAAATAAATAAATGAACGACGAAACATAAATTAGTACACACATTTATTCTTTACCTTGATGAAAATCAATGCTGACTTCAAGGAATGTACTTTAACACTAGAACTACCGACATTAAATACACGTTTATCGAAGAATGAAAAATAAAATGCAAAGGAAAATAAATAAATACTAAAGCGTCAAGTAACATATAGAACTAGTTTTTACCTCAACAAAATATGACAGACATTTCCATAAAATCACGACAATAAAATTTTGTAATATAAAATGAGAAATCTGAAACCAGTCACCAACCATTTTGACTGGTTGGTAGTTCTAGTGTTAACAAAATGTGTACCTTATAATAAGAACCTTATGGAGCTGTCATTTCACCGGTTTGGTAGTTTTAATGTTAAAGTCTTTATTTTCACCTTACGATCTTAACTAAATTTTGATTTTATGTTCATCGAAAGTTTTAAATACCAAATATGACATTACTATAAATATCTAATACATAGAATATAATATAAATATCTAATAAACCATTCGCATAAAATCCTTTGTGCGAAATTTTATTTCATTTGTTTGATATTTAACTGTAAATCAATTAAATGTTTATTGCCGATTACATTGCTTATTGACGATCTTAAAGTCAAATGCGTCGCATAACTGATCGGGATTTATCGCTGTTTGATAGTGGCATAATTCGAAGGATTTCAAATTTGCTTCTAATAAATTCTACATTATGTTTCTATCATAATGTATTTAAAAATATAATCTGTTTTATTTCATTCTTTGAAGGTTAACTCAACAAGAGCTACTTTGTTAAGATATAATTAAATTTGCATTCAAACTCATACTTCTTTAATTGTTTAAATACATATTTAAATATTTATAATATTGTTAAGTATGTATGACTTATTGTATCTGATTAATATACATCATTTATATTGTTGCTAAATATATGTCATTTAGAATGTTGTATACTGTTCTTAAATATACATATCATTTATAATGTTGTTAAATATGCGTCATTCATAGTGTTATAAAATCATTTTTCACACAAAGAACTTGTATAAATTGTATAATTAAAGAATAATAACTTTCTACAGTTCAAAACACTTTTTTCCAAAATTAAATTTCTCAAAAATAAAGGAGAATAGAGACATTTCAACAAAGAGTATTTTGTGGCACTGTTATTTTTTTACAGATCATAAATCACACATTTTAGTAGATAATCTCGAGGATTGAAGCCATACATACTTAAACTGTATCTATACAATACATGGATATCTAATCTTCTCGGGATTATCAGCTAATATCATCAAAGAAACAGGAAGTTGGTACTGAAATAATTTTCAGTTTGATTACTGTGTGTAAACGGATAAAATGAAATATACTTTTTTATAAAATGCTTGCTCCAATTAAGTTTGATAAAATGATTCGATTAAACTGTATGAAACGATTACTGCAAAGACTTATGAAATATTTGAGATATACATATGTATATATATATTGTGTTTTATTATACTATACATATATATTAATAATCCAATATGTATATATGAATATATGTACATATGTTCAAGCATATACATATGTACACACATATGTGCAAACATATGTATATATGTATATGTATATGTCTATGTCTACATATACGTATATGTATACATATATACATATACATTATTACACATATGTTTGTACATATGTATGCACATATCTGTATATGTATATTGTATACATATATAATTATTTCATTATAGTTTGCATCTGTCCTACTACAATTTATTGCAATTTTATTATTACAATATTTTTTTATTTGTTAAAATTTATTACACTTTCTACAAACCTCAAGTTTGTTTTTATACAAAACATGTGTTCCAATGCTATGCATTGTTTAAAATGCATCAGAATTCAGAATTTAGTGAAACAGAAATTGAACAATTCTGTGAGAAACAACACATATTTGTCAAATGTTAATATTTGCATTTTTTTTTAATTTTTCAGTAATATGCATTTTACTATTTACTCATAAAAAAACTACACATCCTACAATATTTGTTCTTAAACACTATTCAGTACCATTTATTTATAAAAACCATACATTCTATGTCATTTGTATATAAAGAACTATACGAGCTATAAAATTTGTTCATAAGAAGTATTGTATATGCCCTACTAGTTGCTTATAAAACATGTACAATAATGTTTTCCCTTAATGAAGCTATAAAATAGGTTTTTGAAATTTTTTTAAATTTTTCAATTTTTTAGTTCTTTTAATGTTCTTCTTCTTCTTCTTCTTCTTCATACGTGTTTAACGTCGCTTAAGTTTCTTAATTCTTTTAATATACCTAATTTCCTGAATTATAAAACAGAAGTCTCTTGTTCCAAATATGTATACAATGCATTATACACAAAAAGTGGCTGTTTTTATTCTCAGACTCTCACAGCCATTTTTAAACGAATCGCGAATGTTGAAGAAGCAATTAATGTAATTTTTCAGAATAATGCCACTCTTCGAAGAAGCGATTAAAGCATACATGTTTTTCGCATCACGAACATTTCAAGGCAACTGCACCATCATGGCCGAAACAGTTCACGATCTTGAATTGCAAGTTCGTCAAATAGAACTTCATCAGATATTTAAACGCTTATTCAATTATCTTACGTAATCTGTTATCTATATTTCACATATTCACATCGATTTATCGTATAATTTCTCAATTTTTGTCGCACTACTACAAGT